CTTGAACCAATATTGTCTGAACTAGTCATCAAGGTCGTCGTCGTCTTCGGACGTGGATACTCTGTAAGTAGTTTCTCATATATATTTGTACGCGTGTAAAAATACATGAGTCGTATAATTACCCCTGCTTGTAATATATGCAAGCATTTTTTACAGAGAGTCATCCGTTCCGAATTGCGCATCAGACGCATAGCGTATTATTTGTGTTTCGTCCGGTATAGAATTTTGTAAAAATTGACGACCTAATTATATCATCCGTGTGGTAGTGGGTTAATATATACGAGTAAAAAGAAGAGGAATAAACGCATATATTTTGAGTAATGGTCGTACTGCCCCTGATCAAGGGAGTTTGAACCAAATATTGTCTGGACTAGTCATCAAAGCCGTCGTCGTCTTCGGACGTGGATACTCCTGTAAGTATTACATTTTTTCTTATATATTTATTTATATATATTAGTTTCTTATATATATGTACGTTTGTAAAAGTACATGAGCCGTATCATTACCCCAGCTTGTAATATATGCAAGCATTTTTTACAGAGAGTCCGTTCCGAATTGCGCATCAGACGCATAGCGTATATATATTATTTGTCTTTGATGTTCATCGAACGTTTAAGAAGAATAAATAGTGCTCTGCGTTTTGATGTACAAATTCGGAACGCACCCAGAGGTTACGATACAGAGTTCATGTATTTCTACAAATATATTTATTATATGCATTTGTTTGTTTTTGTGTTCTAATTCTGTTTTTTTTTATTCCAAGATTTAATTTTGCTGCCTAGTTGTGTCGTCCCTGACAACATAAGTGGGAACAGGAACCTGCATGGTGCTACGTTATAGATTAGCTAATATACTAACTAGCTAATAATAACAATCAAAACAGCGAAATTGTTGACGTGTTCGGACGTGGTTACTCATGAATTCTTCCGTAAGTATTACTTGTTACGAGATACTACCGTGTACCTTTTCTTGATTCTTTTGATTTATTGACTACCAAAGACTGGTATAAGTTGAAATAAATAAAAATCTTTTTTAATATTTAGATATTTATTCTTTCTTAATAATAATATAGATTTATTTTATATTTTTGTATGTTTTATATATATATAGAAAAAGATTTTTATTTATTTAAACTTATACCAGTCTTTGGTAGTATAATAAAACTTTCTCGTAAAAAACTTAAACATCGACATATTTTAAATACTACAAAAAATATTTAACACAAATCTCTTTCAAGAAAAAAATAGTTTAAAAATTATATTTTACAACACACGCGTTTTTTAATATTCTTTAAGTATGTAATTACAAAGAAAAGTCACTTGAGATCTGAAATTAAATTGAAGAAAGTACTACAAGGAAATAATATGAATTAATGTCATATAACAATCTGTCTAATGTATATGGATGTATAAGCTTATCAGAAGTGCAGAATTCGAAAGATGGTAAAAGATGCAACGCTAATTTAGAACGATAAAGGATATTATTGTTATTGTATATCAATTGAATAATACATATTGCGAAATTATGCACTAAAGAATTAACATTGAGCTATTAATTACATAGTCTGGACAATATATTTATCAAATGATTGACAATAAAATGTTATTTAAATATTGAACGTAACAGAAATATATAAATTTTATTTTTAAATTTATATTTGATATTTCTTTCTGACAAAATTATTTCTTACATTTTCTGTATCCAGTGATGAAACGTTTAAAAATTTCAGAAAATGCTTAGAAAGAAGTAGATGCAACAAACAAGTTAAACAAGTTGTGTTTAAAATGTAATAACAAACGTAATTTATGTATTCTAAGAAAAGCTGAATAATATTTATAAATAGCTAAATAACTGAATAATATTTTGAGAACACAAAGTAGTTTAAATGTATGTTTTTAAAGCTTTTATTTGTTCTTTAAGTGCATCTACTTCTTTCTGAACATTTTCTGAAATTCTCAAACATTTCATCACTGGATACAGAAAATGTAAGAAATAATTTTGTCAGAAAGAAATATCAAATATAAATTTAAAAATAAAATTTATATATTTCTGTTACGTTCAATATTTAAATAACATTTTATTGTCAATCATTTGATAAATATATTGTCCAGACTATATAATTAATAGCTCAATGTTAATTCTTTAGTGCATAATTTCGCAATATGTATTATTCAATTGATATACAATAACAATAATATCCTTTATCGTTCTAAATTAGCGTTGCATCTTTTACCATCTTTCGAATTCTGTACTTCTGATAAGCTACATCCATATACAGTAGACAGATTGTTATATAACATTAGTTCATATTATTTTTTTGTAGTATTTTCTTTAATTTAATTTCAAATCTTAAGTGACTTTTTTTTGTAATTACATACTTAAAGAATATTAAAAAGCACATCAATATAACTTTTTGCTAATAACTTTTTTTTCTGTACAGGTATCCCATTTTAGTGTTGTAGCTGGGAGAGGGATACACGAAGGAGAAATGGCTACTAGTATATGTAAGAAGATTTTCTCTCCTGAGGTTGCATTACAACTGAATTGAACAGGGACAGAAATAAAAAAAGGAATCAAGTCACTAAAGTGTGGTAAGTGCATTATTGG